TATAGCGCCCCCCCTCTTGGGTTGCCAAGGCTGTATCTCTGCAGAAGTAGATTGCCCAGTCTTCCTTCCCAGGAGTGGCTGATGGGTTTAAACCACCAGCCTTCTGGTTAGCAGCCAAATGCCTTAAAACATAACCCGGGATGTTCATAGTGTCCAGAAATTATCATACTCAACACATATTGCTCTAAGAGTATAATATAGCATGACTATTTTTTGAGGACATCTTGACAATATATCTCAAAATTTAAAATGGACTTTCTCTTTAACCCATCAATCCTAAGAATGTATTCAAAGAAAATATTCAGACAAGGGGTTTCATTGTATTGATTACACAAATGGAAAAATTGGCAACAACTTAAATGTCCATTGATAAGGGAATCATTAAATATAGTATATCCACATTATAAGGAGCTCTGGCAATGTACTGGCTAGGCATTTGGCTGCTAACCAAAAGTTGGGCAGTTTAAACTCACCAGTTGCTCCATGGAAGAAAGCTAAGACAATCTGTTTCTGTAAAGATTTACAGCCTTGGAAACCTAATGGCAGTCACTATGAGTCAGAATCAAATCCATGGCAGTGAGTCTGGAGTTTTTATCCATAGTACAGCATTCTATCATAAAAACATAATCATAAATGGAATGTGACAAAAATTATATATACATGTGTGTATAAAACAGATATCTACAAAATATTATTGAGTGAAAAAACTAAGTCACGTATTTGATATGTGTATCCGTACATATCCATGCATGTTGTTATGTGCCAGCAAGTGGGCCCCAACTCATAGCGACCCCTCTTTGGATTTCTGAGGTGGTATCACTACAGAAGTAGATCGCCCAACCTTCCTTCTGAGGAGTGGCTGGTGGGTTTGAACCGCCAGCCTTCTGGTTAGCAGTCAAGTGCCTTAGGAACTATACTACCAGAGCTCCCTATTCGTGCATACACATGTATAATGTCAGTGTGTGTTCATACTGAGAAAAAAAATACGTATTCCATACCAAAATGCAAAGTAATGGTTCTCTCCAGATGGTAGGATTACAGGTGGCCTTTGCATACTCTTATTTTCAGAAAGTAAGTATGTTATAACTTTTGGCAGTGAACATGTTATAACTTATGAAAAGAAAAAAATAAAACAATTTAGAAGAAACAGACCAAAGGTCTCATGCTTAGCATTGCTTTAAAAAAAAAAAAAA